GACTTCAAGCTACCACGACCCCCTGGTTATCATATTCGACCCCTACACAGTACTCACCTTACCTTTTTCTCTACCTTTGTGTCTGTCTGCCTCTTTTACATCCGTGAATCGCTCTTCTGTTCCCCACCCCTCGAATTTCTGCTACTTTGATGAACCTTTCTTCTGTGAAGCCTGAAGTCAGCTAAATGGCTAATGATGTCTATCAAAACGTCCGTCATTTAAAATAATAATAATAATAATGTAATTTTTTTTAATTTAAATAAGATAAAACGTGCAAAATGAAATGAGCATTGGTTAATAGTTAAATCGGTGTTCGACCACTTCACGAATTTTTTATTTGGGGGCCAAATTAGTGACATGTGCATGAAAACTGCGTATTTTTCAGAAATAATGTATTTCTTTCCTTAAAATGTGCAAGCTTCATTAAACATTTAAAAAAGGTAAATGTGAATTAAGGATGACATTATTATCGACAAACCATTCTATTAGGTAATGGCAACAATATATTTCAATTTATCTAGTTCTTTTGGGAATTGTCCTGTGGTTTCTCGAATGATTAAACGGGAGATTAATTCTGAGCATATAAAACAAGGATGTTTACTAACTTAATATTAACGTGTACTGTTTAAAACCAATATAAAGAAAATTGAAAAAAAGCTCTTTTACATTCTACTTCGTTATAGAAAGTCTTCTTTCAAATTTAATTTCAATGCCAAGATTATTTTAATTTTTGTTTGGGTTTTAGTATACTTATAAATATTTGCTTACTAAAAAAACAAGAAATATGTATTTAATCGTACAAATAAAAATCGTCAAATGAATTTGTACTTAATCAGATTTTACGGTAATAAGTAGAACTTTATTCCCTTGATTCCTCTCGTTTCTAATGTATAAATGATGATCTTTATAAGATATCACTTGAAAACAAAGTTCCTTGATCCTTATCATTATTTATCGTTACTACATGAAAGTTCCAAGGTAAACACATATTTCAAGGTGAATAGAATATTACCTAAAATAACAAAGCCCTTCAAGAGAGCCAAGAAGGGGATTACCACATCTCAACCCTCCCCTTTTCATCCCAAAGTCATTTTAAAAATGCGCATCCGGCAGTAGGGTCAAAATTAGCTTGAATTCGATCATTGCTTCAATGTATCGATGATAAATGAAGTCGGCCGAATTGAAATGCTTCATTTATGCTTATAAATTGGTGTTTTAGGAAGAATTTATATAGTTAGTTAGCATTATGCATACTTAAAATGTCAAGAATCTTGAGCCGAAAAGTAGACAACGGCAACTGCAAGCTGTATTTAATTGACAGCATAAAAAATGTTGCAAAATAGTAGTTTAAACATGTTAAAATGAAATGACGGTCAAGAATAAATAATCACATTGATTTTGGCCTTCCTTTAAGGATATTTTTTTCATAAATCGTTGATTTTTGTTTTCTTCTATCCATCTATCTATCGCCTAGAGAACAATATTTCAACAACAACTTAATGATATTGCGAATGCAGTCACTGTCTTGATATGAAGATGAACCTTTGGTACAATAAAATAACACTGATGATTGTATCTTTGCAGTGTTCACTAATTAATATTTACACCTATGATATTCAAATTGAAGCTGTTTTCATTGGCATGATAGTTATCTTGAATATACTTTGTCGAATATTCTGCACAAGACACGACACATTGCAAATTGGTTGGGGAATGAAAAATCAAGTTGGCATTATCTCAGTAAGCTACTTACCTCTGTCCTTCTCGATACAGTTACCCAAAAGGGAAAATGAAAACAATCTTTTAATTATCTGTATAGCCTTTCTGTCACTCCGATTTATGTTAACGAAGAGAAGAAATAAATCGAACGTTGCAGAAACTTTTATTCACAAATAAACTATAAATAAAACTCGTGAAAGCAAGGTAAGAGCCCCTAGATAAAGCATATCATATATAATTTAATTCAATTGTTTATTTCAATTTGTTATTTTCTAATTAACAATGTTTTTATAACACTATAGTTTCAATTCGCAAAGATTAAATTAACAGCTCCTACAAAGTTATTGATAAAATTCAATTAATTCTCGAGTAAACTCGAGCAATTATATATGCGTTTCAATCTGCATCTTTACACTTGATTCGTCATTGGGACGCGGCTTGCAAATTAGGATTCCAACTTGGGAAGCATCGAAATGTTTTCCTTCAGTCACTGGAGCACATCGTTTATTTCACCAGTTTATATATTTAGCCTGAATAAAAAGTGCTAGCAAAGCATCATAGTGTGATTGCAATTACAAGGACTCTTATGTCGTCCGGTTTGGAAAGCGGGGAGAATAGTGCGAAATGCGATTGGTCAAATAAAATGACTGACAGTGAGTGGAGGGTTTCGCATCAAATCTACAGCACTAAAATAATTTGAGCAATTAACATAATATATTTAAAGTAAACCGTTGGAGTGAAGGCGAATTAAATCTCAGCATTATTTTGTTTTCAAACTGTTTCTTAAAATATTGAGCCAAACGAAATACAAATTGGATTCACAATAGTTTTAATCATGGCTTGTATACATGAAATTATTATCACAAAAATGAAGCGATAAAAATCAAATCTCTTTGTTAGTTAACTTAAAGGTTTGCTCCATTAGTGGTGATTGCATTCTGTAGCCTGTAATCTATATTTTTAATAAAATTTGTTAAAACAGAGAAGAACAAACAGATTTGCAGTTCTTTGATTCACATTTTTATTTTCTAAGCATCAAACAAAATTATTAATTAAGTCACATTCTACTTATTCAGTCTCTATAAATATTAGCTCCAATAATTCAACAACTATGGCAAGTCTGTACTTCTTGAATGTCCGTTGAAACTTTGATTGTATTCAAAATAGTCTTTTTAAAGGAATTGTGTTGATATAGTTACCACTCCGTTGAGTAAAAGAAAAATGCAATACGCCTAGCAATAAAAGTCTATTTCGATGCGTCATGCTTAGCACTTTGTTTAT